GCGCCTTGCTTCAGTTTGGTTCCATGGGGTCGTCTGGGTCAAATCACTCATCGCGCAAAATCATCCAGCCTCAAGCTCAAGTCTTAACCCGACGTGCTGCTTTGTAATTCCCCTCTATTAGAGTTTGTGTGCAAGAGACAGAGGAACGCTGACTCAGCATGCTTGATTACAGGCCTGGTTGCGTTGTTGTGAAGCCACAGTGTAAACATCAGCGGAACAGCATGTTGTTTTTGTCACCAGGGGTCAGACTTTATAACAAGACATTTACTCATTTGCTGTTAGCGTGTAGACACAGTTGTGTGTGAGAAAGGTGAGGCGAAGGGTTTATGTGCACAAACACATGTCACACTTGATATACTTGATGTCAGTGCAAACACTCGCACACAAAATACAAGCATTTCAAAGCATGTTAGGATTTCTGACCAACAAAACATTCTACTTCATTGACATTTTCCACAATTACTTGCTCATTATCCAATGGAAAGACATTTTTAATATATATATATGTCATTTTAAACCTATTATACATAGTCATTTTCAAAATAATAAATAAAAAAATCACCAGAGCACTTAGAGTAAAAACACAAAGTTATTACTTTTGATTATTTATAAAAAAAATAACTGTTTATAAGAAGTTTTGCCCATGAAACGCAGCAATTGTTCAAAGCAGTTTGTGGTAATGTTTATTGTATTTGTCTATTAAGAAAATAGCAGTTAAACTGTATGTTTGTTTTGTAATGGCACTGTGTTAGTTTAGAAGTTTACACATATTTAGCATAATTCAAGAATTCACACTTAGATATTGATTGATAATAATAGCAGGTTTGGCATGCTGTCCCAGGTAGGCTTGAGCCGGTATAAGATTCTGACGGTATGTTAACCGTGGATAAAAAAAATATCACGGTATCATGGTATTGTGATTGCTGCTGTAATTTTTTATTTATTTTGTGTATGCCTGGGTAAAAAAAAAACCTTTAAACACAATATATTTAATTTTTTAAAAGGTTTAAAAAATTTTGGCATAATAAACTTGTCAGGCTAAATAATGAAAATGAAATTATGAAATCATTGACTTCTGCTGTCTTCATTAGTTTCAAAAACACAGTTTTCTTTAGAATTTAAAACAGCATCTTTGGATATATTTTCTGCTGGAGATACTGTTGTCCTAAAACTAAAAATAAATAAAAAGTAAATTAAAAAAATCTTAAACTTACCTTAGGGATGGTATTACAGAAAAGTTTGGCGGTTTTAAAACCTTGACTTTTCCAAACCGCGGTATACCTTGAAAGCGGTTATCGTCCCCATGCCTAGTCCTGAGAGAGAACTCTGACCTCGGAGTTAATTGAGCCCAGGGCCTCCGCCTGGTCAATAAGCACATAAGAGCTTCTGAGATCAGGTAGTTCTTGAAAGCTACCCCTGGTAAAGAAGGAAAAGGTGGAGATGGGGTGGGCGGGAATTCTGGAACGTAGCTGAAGTAACTAGCTATTCATTGTAGGTTTGGATTTATCTGATTGGCTTATTGGTGATTGAGGATGAGAAACCAGCCACTATCAATCATATCATGTGCTCTTCTTAAAATAATTTATCAAACTTCACTCAATGAGGGAAAATGGGTACACACAGCTTTTTAAAATTTTTTTATTTATTTATTTTTTTTAGCTGAGATTATTTGAACCTTTTACGGGCAGATTAAACTTAAGAATCCATGGCAGATTAATTTTATATATTCTTCTCTCATCACTGCTGAGCTATATGCTACTCGCGCAAGTTAAAACAAATCCATTTTCATCACTTGAAGAATGTGGGTTTTAAACTCGGGCAAGGACTCTGAAAGTTTAATTTCATTTTAAATATCTAGCAGTTGAGTGTAGAAAGGTGTCTGGTGTGACTGTGTGGAGTACTTGCTTAGTTTAAGGTATTAAGGCAAACAAAATCCAGCTGCAACTTCTCCTACTTGTCATCTACATTCTTTTGTCCTTTTTGTCTCTTATTTCTCATGTTGTCTCCTCTGTTGCTCTGTCTCTGTGTGACTGTGAACTGTATATTTTGTCTGTGAAATAGGAGGAGATATTTGTGAGTGTTGCACTGAAACCGTACTGTGAAAGTACACAGACTGTGTTTACGTTCACTCTTCCATGACCGTGTTTGTATGTTCATTGCTAGTGTTCTTCAAGTGCAGTAAAACACTTCGTATTTGATTAGAATTTCAGATTTTTAGAGGAAAATATGAGCACTTTTTACCTGTAAAAAAAAAATAAAAAAATGCTATTGCCAACCCATGGCAATGTATTTTAGGTGCAGTAGGTGAAAATGACTGTTCTGATTACTTCTGCAAACATGTTTTATTATATGCAAAAAAGTACAGTATACTTTTTTATCCAGATGCTATTAATAGTTTCATTAAAAAAAATTATTAAAATAGAGGAAATCAAGGCCGAAAACTGAAACACTGATTAGAAAAAATGATGCTGTGAGCAAGTCTTCTTGCTGTGAGGCGGTCGTGCTACCCACTGCGCATCCGTGACTCCCAAAAATTTACACTTTGCCAAATTAAAAAAATATCTTGCAGAGATATGGCTACAGTCTGACATCTGAGTCACATATTAAAATAGTATATATACCTACCTATTACATTTTGAGGCACTTTATTGCTGTATTTTACTGAATATATTAGACAATGAATGTGTATGCTTTTTTTTTTTTTTTTTTGCGTCATTACAACATACTGTTTCAGTTGTGTTTCGATGTGATTTTCGTTCAAAGATTTTTGGTGACCGAATATTCAGTGCATCCCTAAACACAACTGGACATCTTTTTAAAAAAAAAATCATACACATCTACATATGTAGACCTTAGATGAAACATTAGGTCATGAAAATTAACTAGAAAGTCTTGGAAAAGTCATAGAATTTTATTAGTAAAAATGTGTATGAACCCTGATTGATAACTGCATTCTTAGATGACATCCTACTGTAAATAAAACGGTGACTCTGTACACTTGTGATTGTTAACAAAGCAAAGACTGAAGTAGTGTATTTCTAATTAAGTGACAATATTTTATTAATATCTTAGAATGCATGATGATGGCCACTTGTTTTGTTGTGTACACCATATTGATTAATTCCTATATAAAGCTTATGACACTCTTTACGCTATTGGAATGTACAGATGGAAAACTTGGTGAACTGTTTTAGCTGTACGTGATTCAGCTGTGCATGCTGACTCTGCATATTTTTCAGCTTGAGTTGTTTTAACACACACACAGAGACACACACACAGATGTTTTGTTGTCCCAAGTCCCTGCAGGCAGCACATATTGATGGGGCAGTGATCCCGCTGTAACTCAAACACGAACAAACACACATGGATCTTGGTTTGTTTTCTATTAATCAGCAAAGTTCGGTGTATGTTTGTGAGATTTGCGCTTGTGGGAGAGAGATAGAAGATTGTTTTCATTAAAAGAGTGCTTGATGGAAAAGCACTTTTGCCATTTATGAGTTTATCTCCAGATCAGTTACACACACACACACACACACACACACACAAAATTTAATCACATACTTCGTCTCTTTACAAATGCACATGCAAACAAAAGGATGCAAGTACAGTTCATGTAAACATTTTCTCATTTTGAACTGTCATATATTTCAGCAAGAGCCCTTAAAGCACATTGCATCATCGTTCATTCCTCTCTAGTTCTTGAAAAAGACTGAATGGTTAAATTCGGGTCATTTGAAGTCAATGTTCGCTTATCCACACAGGAAATCAACTTCATTACTATTTCTTCACTTATCTTTGTACCCTCCTCAAATACCACATCCAAACATTTATATATGTGTTATTGTTCTTGTATATGTTTTCAGTGTTTCCTACAGGTTTCAAGTATGCTTGCAGTAGTAAGCCGGATTGAAACACATCTTTCCCATGGCACATAAATTGTTAACTACATGTGACACAAAATGTGATTTTTAACAATACTTTTATTTATTATGACACTGTTATACACAGTTTCTTTTCAGTTGGTTAAAGATTTTTAAAAAGGCTGTCGAAATAAAGAATTACACAGTTTCTCTTATTTTTATGCCATTTATCAGCCATCTGCACACAGCTGCTCTCTTTCTCTTTCTTTCTCAAGTTCAGGTTTCTTTATTGGCATGACAATAGCTATGTTTCCATCAAAAAATACAAATTAACTGTATCCGCAAAACTGGATTATTGCATAAAAGTTGTGTGAATAAAGCAGCGTTTCCATCCAATGAGTCAAAGCAAACAAAATCGTCACTTCCTGATTTACTGGCGCCAAATATTAACTGTAAAAACGGAATTTGCTGTGGTAGGAGAAGCTGCGTGAATCATTTCTTCATGTAATAAATTACTTGCGCCTCATAATTAGAATAAAAAGTGTTGATTATTTAAATAAGGTAAATGAGTTGATTGACCATTTAAGTTTTTTAAATAGTTTAGATCTATTATTTACTTTTTCTCTTGGTCTCTCGGTCTCGTGGCTGTGTGCGCTGTCAGCTGTGAAGCCAAGCAGAAAGTAATCTTTATTAAAGAGTAAGGCAAAAACACAACAGTTTTAGAAAGCGAAAGTCGACTCTCTGACATTTTAGGAGATTTAGAAACACTGGCCAGATGCATTTTTAAGCCTTAACAAGGCGCATCTCTGTGGATCTCTACAGAGCATGTGAGATTGTCTGAGTAAGTTCTCGAGCACAAACAATATGTAGTATGAAATGTGTAGGGCGAGAGAAGATTTTCCACTGGTTAATCGAATGTGGATGTTTGGAATACAAAAAAAGTGTAAAAGGATTATAATATTGTTTAAAAAAAAATTGTCAATAAATATACTTTGGTGGCCTTTAATAAAGTCTATGTGTGGGAAGCACAGGTTTATATTGCTATTAAATGTGGTTTATGTATTCTGTAAAATCATAAAAAAATATTGTCAACTTTCCCAAAACTCTTCATTTGTTTTTCATATTTCCTTCTCTCTCTAGGAAATGGCTTTGGTTGCTCCTGAGTCTGCGTCAGAACAGGCCAGAAGAGTTTTCCAGACATTTGACCCGGAAGGTAAAATTATTTAATAAAACGAACGCATTTCATCTGTTTTGTTTGTAAGAGAGAATGAGAGACTGCAGAAACTCCAACGTCAGCTCAACCACAGCAGCTGAGTCAACTTGTGTTTCTCTGAGAGAAAGATGAGCTTTAGCAAAACACAGCGAGTTTATTATCTCTACAGTTTGTTTGGTAGTGCAAAGATCCAGTTTATGTGATAGTGTGTGTGCGCGAGTGTAAAGAGAAGAGAGTAGGAAATGAAAGAGTAACGTTTGATCTGATGCAAAGGTGTTATTTCAGGGAAGTAAAAGAGCAGTAATCAACTCCTGAAGTCTACAGGTGTGAGGGAGCATGTGTGTGTGCATCAGATACGTAGTTCAGTGGCTACGTTTTCAGGTTTAGGTTAAACCCTTCATTCTTTTGAATGATTCTCCCACAGTATCCCTTTACACAGACAGATATCAGTCATAAAGACAGGACTTCTCACCTCACAACACTCCCTCACATCCACTAACATAGGCCTTCACTGCTGTTGTTTATTTAACATGCTTTGGTTGACTTGCCAAACATTAACCCTGATTTTATACAAGTCGATAAAGTGAGATTATTATAACTCTATTTTTTAAATCATCTCACAAAGTCACATTTCAGCCTTTTTTTTTTCTTTTCTTTTTTTTGTTGATCTTCAGTCTTACTGGAACATCACTCCTAAGCAGTTATCATAATATTGTGCATTTGTTATGATTGATGTTTTTAGAAATAGTCATCTTTTTTTTATTATTATAAATGTCATTACTATCACATGTGATCAGTTTATTTTTTTAAATAGTTTTAAACTTTTATTAGATGTCAGAAATTATCTGTCTGAACACGTCCACACGTCCACTTTCTCTTCCAGCCACATACATTTCTGTATGTGCACATGCAAACATATGTTGTATGCTTAAGAACAGGGCTTGACATTAAATTTTTTCATCACTAGCCACTGTGGCTAGCCACTCTGCATTTTCACTAGCTACAATTTTGTTGTTGGGAAAATATATTATATGCATAAATTTGACTTTGGCATGCTAAAATTACTTCTAGATCTAGATTTAGATTTTGTGTTATGTCCACAATAGTTCGATGAGCATGAGCAAATGGGTTATGGTTTCAGGGTGTTTGACTAATATAAAAAAAATATATATATACATATATATTTATTTATTTCTTGGGTACAAATTTTAGCTGAATATTGTTGTATATATGCACTTTTTATTCAACAAAACCTTTCTTAAAAAAAGACATTTTAAAAAATAAAAATATTTTCACGTATCTAAAGCTATGCACAGCAGTCTGTCCAGGATAAAGGTCCCTGACCACCAGTTAACTATACATAATTATTAATTCCCTATTTTAGCAATGTTATTGTAAAGGATGATAATTAAACCATAAATAAACAATTTAAAAATAACTAAGCAAAAGAAAGCAGGTGAAAAAGATACTGTATGTGATAATGAAAAGAAGATCACATGCATGTCTATTAATAATCTGTTCAGAGAATGGTAAAAAGCGAAAGTGGCAAGTGCTGCTGCTTACAAAAAGATATTTTTTTAAAGAATTTGGAGCTCTTGAAAGCAGCAGGACAGTGGGTGCACGAGCATAATTTGTTGTCCATTCTATTTCACAGAGAACTGATTGCACAAGTTACGTTTGCATTGCGCGCAAGCTTTAAAACCTCTAACTCTATACATAAGCCCTCATCAGTGAGCGAAGAAAGCCTGCGTCTCACCGTGCACATGATCATCCTCTCATTCGGTATTCAGCTCGTGCAAAAAGTCATGCTGCTTCTCAAAGAACTACAATTTTAAATAATTTTCAACCAGCCAAAGTGGCTAGTGGGAGCAGCTCTCTAATCCGCCACAGCCTAAATCTACCCACATTTGACGGGTTGGCGAGTGTTAATGTCAAGCATTGCTTAGGAATAGAAAACATTTGATTAATTTAATGTACCCTAACTGAATAAACAGGTTTTTTTTTCCTTAAAAAGAGAGCAAATTATCTTTAAACTGTAAATAATTCGCATGTTTCTACATTTTTTACAGTATTTATAAACAACCCATTGATTATCTATTTTCTAATAGCGATTTGCAGACTAAATTTCCTGTTTCCAACTGGTTTTGAAGGGATAGTTCATCCAAACAGAAAAAATCATTCTCCCTCGTGTGGTTTTAAACATTTAGGAGTTTCTTTCTTCTCTTATCATTTACTCATTCTTCACTTGTTTGTAACATGTTTGAGTTTCTTTCTTCTGCTGAACACAAAAAAAGGTATTTTAAAGAATGCTGGTGGTAGAAACAAAATATTATGGAAGTCAGTGGGTACCAGATACCAGTATTCTTCAAAATATTTTTTAAGTTTTTTTTTTTCTTCTTTTTTTTTTTAAAGAATTGTAATTTTTTGTTTGAACTTTCTTTGTAACATTACTTATTTTGTGATCATTTAGCTCATATTTGAATAAAGCATTTAGGTCTTGTTTTGGTGTGCTTTCTCATAATGTCCCATAACAATGACAGGTTAGCTCAGAGTAGGTGCTTATGTTGCAAAGTCAGCAGTTTTAATTTTATGAACAAACCCCTGATACTCTCTTAGTCATATGTACTGCATTATATGTGTTCTTCCTGATTCTGTTTGTGTTTTTCCTAAGAATTCTGTTGCCTGAAGTTGTATTTTCCTCCCCTACTTTTTCTCTGTTATTTATTGCTCTTGTGTTAAACCTACAAGTCCCGACGATAATATATAAAGTAGGTAGAAGAGGGTGTTTGATGGAATACAGGGAACCTGGAGCAGAGATCGCCAACTGCACTGTCTCACATCTGTCAGGTAGAAGAGCTTTGTGTGTGTGTAGATCACTGAATGTGTCGCTGTGAGAACTAGCATCGTCTTCCAAAGTTTTGATTTAAAAGAGCTAATTTACAACACACACTCAAAGTGTCATCAAGAACAAGATTAGATGTTCTCGCTTGGCATCTTTCTGCCTCTTAAAGTCGTAAACAACATTCCTGTTCCTTGTGTTAATAAGAACAATATTCTGTGTGTGTTTGTGTGAGCACATGCAATATAATGCAATATAATGTCTGTTTTAGCTCAGTTACCAGCAATTTAGATGTTTATTCCAAACTTTAACCACAGACAATTTAATTATGAATTGATATTGTTCACACTCATTTCATTTATCTAAATGAGAAAAAAAGCACGTCTTTTTATATGCATTTATATGTTATTTAAGCATTTAATAAATTAAATGCTAAAAATAACATGAAATCAACATGCGTATTTATGTCTTATGTGTTATTGATCAATAAAACAGAAATTCCAGCCATAGTACTATTTTTATCATTATTATTTTTATTATTATTATTATTATGCTGACAATCATGATCCAATAAATCTCTTATGGATCTCAAGTTGTCCTCTATTGAATATTGTCTTCCTCCAAAATGGGTTGCGTTGCAGTTGAAAAATTTTGCAAACACCTCTCAACGCTTTTTCAAATACGCCTGACTGTATCTGATTTCATTCCGTGGTACAGATATTTATTGTTCTTAATCTAGTCGCTGCAGGAAATTTGGAGGAGAGAGTTCATTTTATAGCAAACGGAAAAGAGTTAGCATACCAGCTGCTTTGCAAACATCCTGTCTAACACTTGGAGACCAGAAAGGAGGAAAAGCAGTCGTTCATCTGTTTATCAGCCATTGTCTGGGTGTGTTTGTACACATATGTGTGCATGGTCTGCAACATGGCTTTGATTAGAGAGATGAAACTGGTGTTTCATGTTGGGCATGAGACACGGGCAGACTGTGTGGGTGGTGATCAAGGCTCTCAGAAGCTCTAACCATCTGCCTCTTCTCTTTCTCCTCATCTTCAGATAATGGGTTCATTCCAGACACACTTCTTGAAGATGTAATGAAAGCCTTGGATCTCGTCTCTGAGCCAGACTAGTAAGTTTATGTTTGTTAAAGTGTGTGTGTATGATGTGTTTGATTCTAAAACAGAGCATTAAAGTCCTCAGTGCTGATTGGTCGGTAAGGTGTTCCAGCAATGCTAATTTACTAACTGTCATCGTCTCGAAATAAAATTGCAATACAATGTTGTACACTCACAGGCCACTTTTTTTTAGGTACACCTGTCCAATTGCTTGTTAATGCAAATTGCTAATCAGCCAATCACATGGCAGCAACTTAATGCATTTAGGCATGTTAGCATGGTCAAGATGATCTGCTGCAGTTCAAAACGAGCATCAGAATGGAGAAGAAAGACGAGTTAAGTGAACGTGGAATGGTTGTGTTGGTGCCAGACAGGCTGGTCTGAGTATTTCAGAAACTGCGGATCTACTGAGATTTTCATGCACAATCATATCTAAGGTCTACAGAAAATTGTTAGAAAAAGAAAAAATATCTAGTGAGCAGCAATTCTGTGTGTGCAAATGCTTTGTTGATGCCAGAGGTCAGGGGAGATTGGCCAGACTGGTTCAAGCTGATAGAAAGGCAACAGTAACTCAAATAACCCCTTATAGTATAACCGAAGTAAGCAAAAGAGCGTCTCTGTACGGACAGCACGTCCTACTTGAGACGGATGGGCTACAGCAGTAGAAGACCACACCAACCATTACTCCTGTCAGCTTATGCCTAGTTCACACTAGAGGATTTTAAGCCTGATTTGAGCCCGATTTGGAAGTTAACGAGCTCGCCGACAGATCGGGCTGTGATCGGGAAGAAATCTGCGGGTGCTCGCCGCTCTTTATGTGTGAACTACTGAGCAACGCATCAACGAGGCTCGCTGACGCGTCGCCGACACCTCGCAGACGGAAATTCAACATTCAGCATGCTAAATATTCCAGAGCAGTCGGCCGACTCAACCCCATGTGTGGTCAGATGTAGTGACGAGCTACAGCCAATGAGAGAGCATATCAGCATGAGCTGAATGGCTGTGTGTTCAGGAGCTCAGCAGAAACATCTGTGATTGGTCAGAATGGGCATCGTTGCACTCGCTTCATTCTGTGTTAGCACAGACATAAGAATAGGCTATATTAACAGTGGAACTAGAATTCTGTAACTATTAGAATTACCATACTGCTCATTCTGATCGTTCTCATATGAAACGTCATATTGTCACAACATATTTACATTCAAAGCTATTATTGAGAAATTAAAATTAAGCTTTGAATGTCTGGCATCATATTTAATGACAAAATTACCCTAAAAATATAATATTTTTTGGTAATACAGCCTATAAATATGTAGTTAAGATACTAAAACACTTAAAGGTCTTGGCTTTCATTTTCACTTTCAAACAGGAGCTATTTAACAGCACAGAATATGCAGTTTTGAAAGATATCTGAAGTAAATTGATGTTTTTGCCATCAGAAAGTTTTGTTTATGTTAGCAGGAAGTTGCCAGGCAAGAAAATGCACACATATTTAAAGTCACAGCGAAAAGTATCAGACAAGCATGCAGTCATTTTGACCAATATGGTAATTTAGGGCAGAAATGCTCAGTTCTTTACTGTTTTGTAATAAAAAAAAATAACAATGTCAGAAAGAAATACACTGATAGTTAGAAAACGGCAGGGTGTTATAAATATGTTAGTTTTATTTCAAAAAGTTATAAAATTACAAAAATTAAAAACTCTGTGTATCTATCCACTCAAACCTTGCAGATGAGTGATTAATCCGCTCATAAATCAGCTGATTTGACAATGTTTTTAAATGCTTTCTCCAAAGCTTGAAAAGCTGTCAGTGATGTAATCAGCACACAAGCAGCCAATAGTGTTCAGCTTTTTTCTGACGACTCCTCCCTCAAATTTTCATTGGCTGTGGTTTGGTAGCTTGAATGAGCTGATGGGGAATGAGATGTTGTCAGATCATGTAGTGTGTGACCCCCCTCTTGTGGATCGTTCACGGAGTGTTGCGTAGTGTGAACACCACAGAGATCAAAAGACACAAAGTCAAGTCATGTAGTGTGAACGGCACAGCAATCTGCTGATGTTTAAAATCCTATAGTGTGAACTAGGCTTAAGAAGAGGAAACTGAGGCTTAAGTTCACACATGCTTACCAAAATTGGACAATAGAAGGTTGGAAAAACGTTGCCTGGTCTCGATTTCTGCTGCAACATTTAGATAGGGTCAGAATTTGGCATCAACAACATGAAAGCATAGATCCATCCTGCCTAGTATCAACAGGTGATGGTGTAATGGTGTGTGGGGGATATTTTCTTGGCACACTTTGGGCCCATTAGTACCAATTGATTGCTACTTCCAGCAGGAAGCAGTAACGTGCCATGTCATAAAGCGCTGTACTCAATGGCCTCCACAGTCACCAGAGCTCACTCCAATTGAGCACCTTTGGGATATGTTGGAACGGGAGATTCGCATCATGAATGTGCAGCCGACAAATCTGCTGCAACTGCATGATGCTATCATGTCAATATGGACCAAAATCTCTGAGGTATATTTCCAGTACCTTGTTGAATCTTTGCCACAGAGGATTAAGGACGTTTTGAAGCCAAAAGGGGGTCCAACCTGGTACTTGTAGGGTGTACCTAATAAAGTGGTCAGTCAGTGAGAATGTTCCAAAATTTGAAATATTGTAAAGGGTTCTTGTTATTTTTTTATTCTTTTTTTGTTTGTTTGTTCTCGTTTTGTTTATGTTATAAAAATTTGACCCTAAATTTAGACTGGTATGCTGGTATAATGTTGGTGTTTTTTTTTTTTTTTGTCTTTTTTTTTTTTTTTGGAAAAGTTTCAGACAGTCAAATTTGCATTGTTGAGAGAAGAAAAACACAGATAAGTTTTATGTATTTGTCACATTTTATTTTTTAAAATGCAATATATTCCCCTAAAGAAACATTCAACAACATAATTGCGAATTTTAGTTTAATTGTTCCAAAACAGAATACAAAAACATTAAAAACATTAAAAGCTTTGTTGCAAATTGATATTTTTCTTCTTATATTATTCTACTTTTTATATTCTTTATATTGTCATGAACACACTTGTTTGTAGAGCGTTTGTAGAGAGTTTGACCGTTTTCTGACAAATATTATTTTTAGTCATTTCAATCATAGGCAGCGGAATCGCAAGTATATTCGTAAAAATGAGCACGCTTCCACCGTAGAATAAGGTCAATAGGACTAACACAAATTGTATTGTTATCCATTATACACAACACATATAAACATCATACTTCAATGCATTTGCTTTAAAGTTTGTTAACAGTCTCTTTCTCTTTGTGTTCTTTGTGCATGTTTTTGTTACTTAACCTTATTTGTACAACTTAAATAATTTTGAAACATTAACATTCTTGACTAAATTAAAAATATATAATTAAATAAAATTATCTTTTTTTCATTTATAACATACTTTGTACTTTTATGCTTATACAAACATGGGTAGCATTGTGTTTGAAAAGTGATAAGAACAGGTTTTTGCATGTTAAAATATCTGTCCTCTCTCTTTGCATAGCTTTGGTTCACAAGCCACTCAAACAGACTCCTGACTCTTATAGTGCAAAGGGGAGATAGGGAGTAAAGTCTTTTACTTTGTTTAAAACCTCATTTTAAAGCCACTAAACAGAGTCCCTTTGAAAGCTTCACCTCTTAAACCGCTTCCCACTGAAATCTGAGTGATTTAAAACCACCTGTTTTCTTAAATAACATCAACCTTTGACAGCTGAACGACAGCTTGAGCCATTCAGCAAGAGGGTTTATAATGTAAGGATTAATTGACAGAATAAAGTTTAGCTCACATGTTTGTTTTCACACAGCACCCTGTTCTGTCAAAAGTGGTTAAGTCAAGTGTTGATGAGGTTTGAACTCTCCTTTGGCCCCTTTTGAAACTACATACAGCATAATCAAGGTTTTGGCAAATGATTATTATTGTTTCAATTTTTATGTGTATGTTGAAGTGACCTGTGATCACACGAGAAAGCATTTATCATCCTCTGATTACTGAGCTTGTGTGGGAGGGAGTTAATAATGTTATCAGTCTCTCTGAATGACTTTAAAAGGAAAAGTCTGCCCTGTTTTAACATCACTGAGGTTTAACGTCACCAGACACTGTTCTATGTTAAGTAACTGAGCATAATTCCTTTCTAGCTAATTGTGTCTACATGTTTTATTGACAGTGAGGAATACATGCACATATACAGCGAGCTATATCTCTTATGATCATTTATTTCTCTTTTTTTAACCTCAGTGTGAATCTGATGAAGAGTAAGCTGGATCCAGAGGGGTTGGGTATTATTCTGTTGGGTCAGTTTCTGTTGGAGTTCTTCCCTGATCAGGTAACACACACACACACACACACCATGTCTCTCTCTTTCAGGCTGTATGTTTAAACGTGACCTAAATGCTATGTGAGTGGGGAGCTCAATCAAGTCTTTTCCTCTTACTGATCTGAAAACCATTCCAAAAGCAGACATGCAGTAATTATGCTGCTATCTTAGATGCTTTTAGAGGATTAGTTTACTCAAAAAATGAAAATTCTGTTATTCATTTCTAACCCTCTAGTCCTTCCAGTCCCCTGAGACCTTTGTTTATCTTTGGAACACAAATGGAGATATTTTAGCACTCACATCCTCCATAGATAGAAATGGTCCAGAGACATTTAAAATCCAGAAAAAGAACCAAAAACTTTCAGAACATTCCATGTGTACTGTAATCATATGAAGCTCCAAGAAACTTCAAAAAAACTAATGTGCATGAACCTTTTGCTGATGAAAGTAATTATAGGATGAATATTGCTGAATAAAGATATAATATAGATTATATCCATAAAAAAGCTATATAAAGGTAAGTTGCGCATAAACTATTTTTTTTTTTTTTTAATGAATAAGTAATTTCTTTCCACTTAAGATTAAGCTTCGTCCTTCACCATTTGCTATGGCTAATTTGCAAGGTAACCATATACTTTTATTTACATAAAGAACTATTGCTAAATCGATCATATTGTTGTAATTGTTAAAAGCAAATAATCACAAAGCAGTTTCAGTTTATTAAATGTCAGGAGAAAATAATTTGTCTACACTTGTTTTTCCCTCAGAAATTGCAAAGTAAATTCACAGACGCATTTAATTTAATTAAAAATAAACTTGCATCCATATTATGTGCTAAAAATGTGCTATTTAACAAATATTTAACCCTTTCAGGCTCAAATTAAATTTTAGAAACAGTCAAAGTCTATGCTTTTAACTGTTGCAAATCAGCAGCGCCTGCCTTGAGAGGGTTAATGCAGTTTCTTTGTTCAATATAAAAGTATAAAATAAGAATATAAAACAAAAACGATATACTATGTATTTAATATTTTCTGAATGCTTATTAGATCGTCATACTCTTTGGAAGAAACTGAGAGATGAAGGTACTGAGTTTAAGAGTGTGCACACCTAGGCCTGTCACAATAACCAATATATTGACATATCTCACAACACATGGCCATAACCTCAATCATTTTTGGTGGTGCAATACATTTCACCCATACAAAAAAAAAAAAAATATCAGCAACATTTTAGCTGATTGCGCAGCCTCTTTATTAGGGCTGCACAATATTGGAAAAATCGAACATTATACAAATCAAATTATTAGAAATTTAGAATTGTAGATTGATTGGGATGATTCTATAGGGGGTGCAAATGCATAAAATATAATAAACAAGCATAGAAAAATTCAGTAAAGGAAAACATGGAAATTAAATGAACAGCATTTTATTGTTTTCCAAGGAATCAAACTGTATTTAGGCATACAGCAATTTAATAAACAAATATGAAATAATATTTATCATTATTCTTTTTTCTAAGTTACAAACGGTACAATTTGCTTTCAAAACCCTCACAAACCTCAAAAACACTTGCGAAATGATCAATTATAATTCAGACTCGACATCACATATACTCGCAATGTGACTATTGCGAATGATCATGTTGCGATATCAATGCTGAAACAATATATTGTGCAGCCCTACTCTCTATCTCTATTGGAGGGGTCCTTGTCAGTATAGTTTTAAAACACTACAGTATTTACTATAAATTACTTTAGTATATTTTCATGTGGGTGCCTGCCAACTGAAAATAGGTCTGTTACTTTTTTCTAGTTCTTTTTACCTTGCACTTCTTTTGTTAACATTTCTCATTATTTTGATTTATTTGTTTAGGATGTACGTTTTCACTTTCTGATTCCAATGCCTAATTAATAAATTGACTTTAATTAAATAAAATATTCTTAAAAATAAAATATATTTCTTCTTCGGAAAAGTGTGCTTGCTTTCTGGTGAAATATTTTGGTACAATATACTGTGCAACGAAACAATAGATATCATGACAGGCCTATGCACATCTGGCAGGTTTGGTTTAATGAAAACAAACTTTGATGTGATTGCTTTGTTACTGCAGGCTTCTTTTTTAAATAAATAAATTTGGTCATCTGAATCTTGATGTGCACCAACAAGTGGACCAAGGCTGCTAAAAAGACATGTTTTTTTCTTCCAAAAAAGTGCATTTCCACTGAAATCTTAACACTACACACAGGCAAAAGACACAAACATCAAAAAAGAGCACGATGTCACAAAATATGGCCATAAAAGGACTTGCCTGTTTTCTCATCATAATCGGGATATTTCCCAATACAGTTTTATACCGCCATAACAAATGCATCTTTTTGCAGAAGATCTTCTTTTGTGTGTGTGATTGGGGGAGTTTTCAACTAAAAACACATACAGAGAGCTTGTTCAGTCCAGCACACAGCATTTTTTGGCATTGTTTGAAATAAGTTATATTGCAAAATATGCCATAAAGGCTTAAATTCAAGAGAACTACATATACAGTTTGTTTAGGAAGCCACATATGCAGGCAGAATGACAGCAAGGCAGCACACTAGGTTTTGGAACAGAGTTCTCTCTCTTATCCTGGCTATCCTGCTGTGTTTTTTTTCCCTTTTCCCCTTGATTTCTTGCTCTTGCTCAACGTTGTTTGCTTTTTCTTACTGTTTTTTCATTACATTCAAATAAACCCACAATCAGCCTTAGATTAAATCAATGTACATGTAGCCCCTCAGAGAGAGAGAGAGAGAGAGAGAGAGAGAGAGAGAGAGAGGAGAAGCTGACGGTTAGATTTGGCATGGACTTGTAACTCCACCACTCTGTGTTAAATTCATTAGGGCTTTAGGGATACATACAAAAAGGCCTCAATTTACCATCAAATCAAATACTCTAACCCTATTTCAGGCCCACTCAAATACATGCGCTGTTGTTGTTCTGGCAGCGAAGCAGGCATGTGGTATCGGGGCTAGACGGAGGTATTTGGCTCCCGTCAGAACTGTGTGCTTGGGTTTTGACTTGTTCTGAAATGTTCTGGCACCAATTTGATTTCAGGTCTTTTTAGCTGCTACACAGGGAATGGGGGGTTGTTTTGGACTTAAAGTGATGCATTTCAGGGGGGTGTCAGTATTGGGCATGTTTTAACATCTAAAAATTTCTACTGGACCTCTGTTTTAGGCACTCTGGTCTAAGTTTATGGAGTGTGTTGAGATGGGTTTGAATTGGATTGGTTTAGTTGAGAAAATGTTTTCTGGCATCATTTTTAACACTAAGTACTTAATAATAATTTATTAAGTACTTAGTTACTGCAGTTATATTATGTATTCACTGTAAAAGACACACTAAGGGCATTGCGGTTAATTTGTTACGCACTTTCCTTTAAATATTGTAAAAGCATTTAACAGTTATGAACAAATCAATTCAGAGTAATTATAATTTTTAAACTCAGATATTTTGCTATTCAGAGTATTTTTTTACTAAAGAAATTTACTTTTGTCATACGATTTAATTTGCTTTATTTAATGAAATTAAGAGATTTGTCAATTTTGTTGATACATGACTATGTGAATGAGAAGGTATTGCTTTGAAACATTTCATGTTTTTAAGCATGTTTAACTTAAGTAAAACATTTTTGTTTTTTACATGTATAATAACAAAAGAAGATTATGTTTATATTTAAATTGCTTGTGTTGAAATTGTTTTGGTAAAGCTAAAAGGTTAATCTTTTTCTTGTTTCTCTCTGATTTAAACAATTAAGAGCTCAGTTTATCCTTTGAAGTTTAAAGGAATTTTAAGTAGTATTGAGTGAAGCAATGAATGAATAAAAATAATTTGTCTGGGACTTTAAATAAAATTTTGATGTAATTGGTAATTAGTAATCACTTTTTAAGTAATTTGCACAACACAGTGTTAAATAAGGACATATAAAGCAGTTTGTGATGTTACACAGACCAGGGGTCTTATTAATAAAATTTACGTAAACGTTCCTATTAGTGATCGTACCCAGAATATTTTGATTTATTTATTTAGTATTGATTATGATTTAAAGTGGTTCAATAAGTGAGTACTTGAGTTAAATATGTTTACTTTGTGCGCAGCTGTATGTAAACTCCCTTCAAATTAGTCTTTTTTTGTATCTCAACTTTTGCGTGGTAAGTGTTGTGTACACCAGAGGTTCTCAACTTCGGTGGTTTCGGTAATCCACTTATACAGTCACGGGTTGGTATGTACCTTGATTTCGGTACCATGGTTTGATAACGGTATGGTACAACAGGAATAATAAATAATCTCCAAAAAAACTTGCCTTTACTGTTTAATTTGAACAGGCAGAAGTGTTTTGTCACATTCAGTTAGAAAGCTGAAGAGTTTCTTGTGATGCAAAAATACGAGTTAAACACAATAATTAAAATTAAATCTTCATAATCAGGAAACTAATTAGGAATTGATAGTTAAAAAAATTATCTCGGCCTTTTTCTAAAACTATGGAAAAACAATAATTATGTATTAAATTTAAGATTCAGTAAGCTTCAACTGAAAATCTCTTTTATTAAAAAATGCAGCACAGTGTCCAGATCCAGCTGTGCAATATTATGTGTGTGTATAGAGAATACTCATAGACTGACTTTCTTGCTCGCATATTGAGACAATATCTTATATTTCAATATCTTATATTGTGTGTGTGTGTGTGTGTGTGCGTGCGTGTGTGTGGATGTGTGTGGATGTTTCCCAGAGATGGGTTGCGGCTGGAAGGGCATCCGCTGCATAAAAACTTGCTGGATAAGTTGGTGGTTAATTCCGCTGTGGCGACCCCAGATTAATAAAAGAGACTAAGCCGACAAGAAAATGAATGAATGAATGTCTACAGATGCGCATGGCTAAACTTGAGTCTTTTGCAGCACTGCATGTTTAGAAGCTGTGTGAAGATGATACGATTTCAACTTTTACCCACAGCAGCGCTCATTTGTCACACATACTGCCAGTTACAGAGAAATGGACCAATCAGAAGAACTCTGATGTGGGACTAGTGTTCCGCACTTCTTTTTTCATGTATAAAAGTGGTCATGACAGCGTTAAAATAGCGGAACCACTGGTGAGTGCTGCTGTGTCGAAAAATGTGTTCTTTGTCAATGTATTCTGTATTCGTCATGAAGGCACGTGAATCGAACTCAACTTTGACCATCGTACCGTGTTGATTCGGGACAAATACATGCACTGTTAAAGCCCTGGTGCTTCACTATATGCTGTGCTATATGCAGCAACATGAGAGCTGATCACTCTGCTTAGCTGTAAGGCCACATTTTAAAGAGTGTTCCACATGTGTCCCGCGGGCCACCTATTGAGAACTTTGGGTGTACACTTTGTTCATAAATGAGACCCCAGGTAATGTATGTATCCACAATGACACGTGTTGTCTCAATGTTCCAGGATTCTGTGATCCCAGATTCATTTCCTGTGTATCACTATAATGGCCTGAAGCAGTCCAACCATAATGAGAAGGTAAGAAATACTCATGCATGTTCTCTTTAATTCCCACGCATGCAATGCACACTTTAATGGCGCACATTACCCCTGCTAGCATAAAAGTAGTGGTTGGTCTAACTTATCCCGTCTGATCTCTGGGAAGTGGAGATAGTGAGCTACTCCATTCAAATGCCCACACAGTTTAGACATCTCAGACTCCTGAAACCCAAACTACACTCATTCCTCAGAGTGTTGAGAGCTTTTGAGACTGGGCAGAATGTAGCCCAGCTGAATGAAAGCTGTTTCACTGGACTATTTTCTCTTTATTTCTGCTTGTATTTAGTCAAAGCAATCAAAATGATTTGCATCCTTTAAAAGATATTATTTTTCAAATTGACTTTTGGTTTAGTTTTTTTTTCTGTGGTTTCATGGTTGTTTCATGGTCGTTTCATCGTAATATTCCTATTTAGTTTTAATATTATTTTGTTTCAGCAGTCATAGTAACTTGAAAAATTTAGTTGTCATCATTTACTCTTCATTATTTTATTTGAAATCCCAAATTAAATATTTTTTCTTTTGTGGAAAAAGAAAATATTTTCAGGGTTGTTTCTTGCGTGACTCCAATATTAAATTGATTAAACCTTGTCAAACTTGCCTATACTAAAAAAAAAAAAAAAAGCTGAATATTCATGTTTATTTATTTATTTTCTGTTCACATTTTAACATAGCATTCATGTTTGCATGTTAGTTAAAGGGACTTGGAAAATTGACTTGAAATGGAAATTGTCATATATATATATATATATATATATATATATATATATATATATATATATATATATATATATATATATATATATATATATATATATATATATATATTGCTCATTTAATTAAATACACAGACATATCATGGGGTTAATTATGGCAGAATTTAAATTTTGTGGTGAACTATCCTATACCTATATTAAAATAGTATTTCTTTGTTAATTTTAGTCTCTTTACAAAAACATTTACATCAGTACATTTTTGTATTGTTTTTCTTGTTAAAATTGTAAAAAAAAAAAAAAAAAAGCACTTGAAATTAAGATTGATTATATACTTTTGAACTAATTTAATACACACTTTCATATTGTTCCAGGTATTTATTATCTACAGTATTATGCTACTGCTAGTAAAGTGCTTTTCTGACCATTGTGAACCATTGCCCTTGTTCCATACACTTCCCTATAAAGAGTGCTAATGACATTTACACATGCTGTTTTTGACCTGTTTACTCTCACCCTTCATACTTGAATATTATAAGTGATCTATACATATTATAGTTTGTCGAGATAAATTCATGATTAAGAAAAAAAATATATTAAAGATGTATTTAAAAATGGCTTACCTGTATGATGGTGAATGTTAAACATTAAAGAAAAAAATATGAGTCTGTACGTGTGTGTGCATATGAGTGAGAAACAGATTGACAGAAGTTTAGAAAAAATTGGTAGTAATTGCCACATCAGGCCCCAGAGGACACGCAGGTTACTCTTCATTACTCTGGCAAATGCATTAGCAGCAGCAGTAAAATGTGCAGCCTTTGTAGTCGAGGTTTCCTCTGTGCCACTCGTATATTCACAGGGGCCCTTTCTCAGGAACCAGACACCTTGCAAAATGTAGGGAGCTCCTCTGGCCGTAACGTGGCCATACTGGCACTTGAGGCCAAAGCCCAGTTTGCCTTTCTGCTCAAGTCATATAATCATCCAAAGGGATCTGCTCTCATTCTGTCTTCCTCCAGGTTTCCTACTTCATGTCACTTAAGCATTTTGGACCACGTTCACATTGCTGTCAGGATAATTCTGTAATGATTTTGTGGTTTTATTGTCTTTTTGAAAAGACCTCTTCTGAATCTACTCACAGACTGAATTGCAGATTTCAACAGGCTCACAATGCTTCCGACATGCAACTTGTTTGTTTAATATTTTCACTAGACTTTCATTAATTCATCATTGTTGGATATTCTTGGATTCTTGCTTAAGGCAAGCAATATTAAGAAATCATTTATATGGGATAAATAACTAAGGCCTCGTTCATACTAATACATTTTATTTTTAAAACAGCGTTTTAGAATGAAAACGATCCACGTCCACACAGGATTTTCACCTTGCGTTTCTGAAAAAAATCTCCGTCCACACTACACCACTGAAAACGCACATCACATGACCACACACACACTCCAGCATGCGCTGCAGCATATGTACACATCTGAGCTCCAGTCAGTCAGCGAGTGCTTTGAGCACAGTTCCCCGGGTGAGAGCAGTGCATTTCAGACAGTTTATCAAGCATATACAGTACTGCTGGATCTAATCTCTCTATAGTTATTAAATGTGATATTTATCTCCTTGGCATTTAAATCTATTACTTGTTCTCAGGTAACGTGTTTTGGTTGAGCAAAGATAAGTTAATAAATTAATTAATGCAACAACACACAATGATTCTACACATTTGACTGATTGCTTGCATTTATTTCCTAAAATCTATAAACTTATTGTACGTAATACTTTTATAATGGCCATTATTCATTTTTAAAACTAATGTTCAGCAAAAGAGAGGCTATGTTTTATATTTTTCAATGCAAATGCAAGAAGGCAGTTATGTTATAGGCTCCGTCTTGTTATAAATATGCATACAGTGAAGATGACAGCCAAAAAAATATGTAGCTACACAATGCCTCAACATTTTTAGTGTCTGTTAGGTTAATATTAAAATGAAAAAAGGCAGTTCCTTATATCATGTTTTCTTTTTTTTTGTTAAGATAGTTAAACATTTTAGCCAGGGTGATGTAAATGATGTTATGAAGTAGCCTAAACTGTTCCCTTTAAAGATTTACCCGATGTGTCCTCAGGAGTTTGTTTTCCATATCAACTTGAAAAGTCTGAACCTAATAAAAGAGTGCAAGACTTTGCACACTTAATATTGAGGAAAAAGCCCCAATCAGAAAGGTGAATGTCTGCAGCCATGCCTCTATTTAGGGGCCAAGCACCGTAGGTGCGTAGGCACCTATTGCTTTCGTTAGAGTTCTTATTATTAGGGGCCAAGCACCGTAGGTGCGTAGGCACCTATTGCTTTCGTTAGTGTTCTTATTATTATTAGGGGCCAAGCACCGTAGGTGCGTAGGCACCTATTGCTTTCGTTAGTGTTCTTATTATTATTAGGGGCCAAGCACCGTAGGTGCGTAGGCACCTATTGCTTTCGTTAGTGTTCTTATTATTATTATTATTATTATTATTAGGGGCCAAGCACCGTAGGTGCGTAGGCACCTATTGCTTTCGTTAGTGTTCTTATTATTATTATTATTATTATTCTTCTTCCGTTTCTTCCGCCGGATTTGAATGGCAGCCCATATAGGCGTATGCGGGAAAGTTGTATAATTTGGCACAATGATAGAGGACAGTATTAACATTAATCAGACCAAACATGAAGTCTCAAAATCAAACTCTCTAGCGCCACCACTTGTCCAAACTTTCACATACGTTTATCATCATAACTTTTGAACCGAATGGGCTACAATCAAATTTCTTTTTTTCTCTGATTCCTTGGCTCAGTCCGATTCAAATGCACCCTATGACGTCATTTTCCGTCATGAATTTTTTCGCGCTATTTTAAATTTTTCGAAAAACATATTTGATCGAACTCGTCCTAGGCCATTTCTCCGATTTTCACCAAAATTGAATCACATGATCTACAGACTATGCCAACCAAAAGTTATGGAATTCAAGTTGATTTGACCAACCGTTTTCGTTTAACTTGCGATCAAATTTAACGAAGGACTTGCGAAAATGGACTTGAGACGATATCTCCGTAACGCATTCACCGATTCACACCAAACTTGGTGTGTGTTATTACAACTAGGGTCTGAGGTTACAGGCAGAGTTTCGGCGCACTGCCCCCTAGTGGTCCGGAGATATAAAAAACTTGCTTTTTGGCTTATAACATCTCAACCTTTCGTCCGAAACTCATAAAACTGGTCTCATTACATCCGGCAGAGCATGTCGAGTCAAATGATGTCTGATTTTCACAGGTCAGCCATTTTGGGCGTCGCCCATTTTGATTTTAGGCCAAAAATGCTATATTTTACCAACATATTCACATATTATTACAAAACATGGTATGCATCTGGCACAATGATAGAGGCCAGTATTAACATTAATCAGGCCAAATATGAAGTCTCAAAATCAAACTCTCTAGCGCCACCACTTGTCCAAACTTTCACATACATTTATCATCATAACTTTTGAACCGAATGGGCTACAATCAAAATTCTTTTTTCCTCTGATTTCTTGGCTCAGTCCGATTCAAACCCACCCTATGACGTCATTTTCCGTCATGAATTTTTTCGCGCTATTTTAAATTTTTCGAAAAACCTATTTGATCGAACTCGTCCTAGGCCGTGTCTCCGATTTTTACCAAAATTGAATCACATGATCTACAGACCATGCCAACCAAAAGTTATGGAATTCAAGTTGATTAGACCAACTGTTTTCGTTTAACTTGCGAAATAATTTAACGTAGAACTTGCGAAAATGGACTTGAGGCGATATCTCTGTAACGCATTCACCGATTCACACCAAACTTGGTGTGTGTTATGACAACTAGGGTCTAAGGTGAATTGCGGAGTTTCGGCGCACTGCCCTCTAGTGGTCCGGAGATACTAAAAACTTGCTTTTTGGCTTATAACGTCTCAACCTTTTGTCCGAAACTCATGAAACTGGTCTCATTACATCCGGCAGAGCATGCCGAGTCGAATGATGTCTGATTTTCACAGGTCAGCCATTTTGGGTGTCGCCCATTTCGATTTTTGGCCAAAAATGCTATATTTTACCAACACATTCACATATCATTACAAAACATGGTATGCATCTTCAACCCCATGCCCTGAAAGTACTCAAAAACGTCTGGAGCAGCGCCACCTTATGGCCAATAGTGCTTGGCCCCTTAATTGCTGCTTGCAGCTATATTTATTATTATTATTCTTCTTCTTCCGTTTCTTC